TGGGGATAACAAAGACAACAATTTAACTTTATTTCGTTTATTCATTGAAATACATGAGAAAAAAATCGATGGTCTTTGGTAATAAAGCCTGGAAACGCCCACTAAGGCCCCTTCATAGCAGTGCTTGAAATAATAGAGTTTAGCCAAATCTGCAGTTTCAGTCCTGGTTTTCAACCTGAAAACAAGAATATAAATCATTAAAAAGAGTTTAAACTTTTTTTTATTCCAAAGATATTATGAATACATCTTGGAAACGTGTTCTTTCTTTCTAAAGTCGAATTTTGCGCGCTTTGTTAACTTCAAAATAGTGGAATTATCTGCCCTTGATCTCGATCATCAGTGCGTTTTATATGAGCTCATTTGCATAAACAGCAATCCGAATCTGCTAAAACGTAAAAGTTCAACGATATACCTTATATGTATGGACTTATGCTTTATAAATATGTTGAGGGTATGTATTTCTTTACAAGAAAAGTGCTGGGAGCAACTTGTGCATGTCTTACAACAGCATTTTTTCTTGCAAGTAAATGGTAAATACCATGATTATGTATCGGTCGAAGGTTTTTGAAGTTAAAATAGACTGTGTTCTCGAGGATGCTATACTTGCTCCCAGCACTTTTCAGGTTAAGGAATTCTAGGACTTTTAATTAGTAGTAGACATTATTCTCAACACATGTCGTATATCCTTGAACTTTTGTGTTGAAAGAAGGAAGGTATGTTTTGTCTATTTTTGATATGTCACGTGATAAACAGCTGACGTCAGTAATGTCCTTGTTGAAAAATGATCCGGAGCACTGTTGTAATTGAACCATATATAGATCCTATTTAAGTAATTTTTTATTGCCTTGAAATGTCGTTTAAAAATTATACCGTTTATATGCTGCTGATTTTCCTTTGTTTACACATGGACGTCCTTAACCTAGCTGCGTTATCTTTGACTTTCCAGATATTTGCTTAAAACACAGTCAAGAAATGGATTTAGTATTACAAACAGTTTATTTAAACTTTCTCACAGATCATGCTGTCACGGTAGCTCAGTCGATAGAGTGTTCGCTCCGTGATCGAGAAGTCGTGTGTTCGAATCTCGGCCGCGATTGACTTAAGTCGATAAAAAAAATGGTAGCAACTAATCCTTTGCCTAGCGCTCAGCACTTTGAAGTGAAAGTTGCAGGTCCTTCGGATGAGACATTAGAAACCGAGATCCCGTGTCACGGTAGGCGTTGGCACGATAAAGAACCCTCACTGCTAGATGGTGACGTCTCTATATGAGAGAAAAATTCTCGAACGGATTTAAAACAACGTACAATCAATCTCACTCTTCATGGCCAACTGACAATTAACAACTACATTTTGAACTACTAATTTCTTCTCTGATGTAGTTAAAAGCATATAGGTTGCAGAATATTTTTAATTGTTAATTCTTTTTTTTTTTACCTTTGTGATAACTTAGCTTAAGGGAAATGAATCTTGACAAAACTTTTGCGTGAAGTAGCATGTCATGTATTCCTTCACAAATAGATATAGATAGGACAATGTCTTTAAATTAGATACATGTCCCTGAATTTAATTAGATACATGTCCTTTAATTGACTATATCGAGAAATATCAAATGAAGTATACATTTTTTTTCCTTCTTTTTAGGGCTATCGGCCATGAAATATTTTTATTATCTTCGACCTTTGGATATGATTATATATATATATATATATATATATATATATATATATATATATATATATATATATATATATATATATATATATATATAAGTGTTTTATTTTATTTTATGTCATCATTTTTATATGTATAGACCAATGTATTTTATTCTGTTCATTATTATTTGATTGCTTAATTGATTAATTAATTAAATTATTTATTTAATCGGCTTTTCATATTGAATTAAACCTGGAAAAAAACATTATGAATGCATTAATAATTGCACTCTTTAAGGGAGGAAGAGACTGCATCCTGTTACTTCGAACGAGTTTATTTGCCTGCTACGAAAATTTTATTTTAGCGTTCGATTTAAACATTAAAACACACTGACTATTTTAAATACTTCCATCCTAATCTTTATTGAAAGGTATATACATAACAAACAAGTCAAATCAGCAAATGTTTAACATTACACTGAAACCATCCCTATCTCTCATCTTAAAAGAAAGATGTACACCACAAACAAGTCAATCAGCATATATTTAAACATTACACTGAAACAGGTGTTGGATCGTACTGTGCTAATCAATTTATACGCTGATCCCGAAGCTTGGTAATGTTATTACAACCTAATGAAAGCTGAAAAATAAATTTCAATCATTTTTTATTAGGGATATATTATTATAAACAGATTTTATTTTGATTCAAATGTTTGGCGTATTTTATTGATGCAGGTACTTATTTCAGATCTAGAATCGGTTATAGAATAAATGTTAGGTCAGTGGATATACACACTCGGCTAGTGGCTTTTTGTTATTTTTTTTATTACTTGGATAGAAAACATTAAAAAAAAAAGTAGAGAACATTAAAAATATATGTGGTAGATGTGTAGAAAGGTATTGTAAACTTTTACGGATTAAAATAGAAATATAGAGTTATAATCAATAGTTAATTTTAAACACTTTTCATGATTTTTCTTTTCAATTATTTTTATACTAAGACAGATAAAGAAAATAATATTTGGATTTTACATTTGCGCATTGTATATTTGTATTATATATCCACATTTTATAACTATAATCTTTTTTTACAGATTTATCAGATCCAAAGATATATATAAATGGTATGATGCAAGAAGCAATAGACATGAAAGAAAGGAATCCTCTACGACTGTCGTGTTTTGTAGCAGGAAATCCTACCCCAAATGTCACACTTAGAAAAGTTGGTGGTAACAGTATTTTAAAGACAGCCTTCCAAAGTTGGTTGAACTACACTGAAATAGAAGGGGCTCAATGTTCTGACACGGGAACTTACAGTTGCGAGGGTCATTCTCAAGAGTTTGGACGCAACGATCGGTTATTTACTGTTAACGTTACATGTAATATCTTTTATCATCAAATATACTACATAACATGATACTTAAAATATTTACAGTTTGTTTGATAGGAATATTGACATTTCCTCTTAAAAGAATGTCTAGTTCAAAACCAACATCAATATCATTTAATTTTTTACCAGTAAATTTATTAAATCTACTTAGAGATTTAATTAGGTACACTGTGATATAAAATACTCTGCTAAATGTATAGTTTTTTTTTTTTTTACAATATTTATATTAAAGCTGGAACATTATGTAAATAATTTGTTTACAATTATGATACATGTCAATCGAAAGTAAGAAAAATCTATTTTAAGTGAAAACTATGCCAGGACAAAGAAAATATTTGGAAGGTTCCATTTTTATGTTTTATAATTTACACATTGGGAAGATTACAAAAATACCCTGGGTAAGAATAATGCATGTAAATTCTAAAAAAAAAAAAAAAATAAATAAAAACTTATCATTTTTTTAAATGAAGTACTGTGACAATTTCCAAATAGAGGTAATAAATGAATGATAAGAATAGGTTTAATTCATATAACATTCTTTTCAAATACCACCTGAGTAAGAAAGAACGTTGATTTCACTGTACTATTATTTTAATCATGGTCCATATAGGGTTATGAACCACAATAGGGGGCTATTAGGGGTAAGAGAGAGAATATCTTGGGTCGTATTGTGGCTGATTTGTTTCAGACCAATTGTTAGGCCTTTATTTTATACTAAGTTTAACTACGTCACGTTCAGTCTTCTAGATCAGTATACAGGGCTCACAACGGGTGTGGCCAGTCGACAGGGGATGCTTACTCCTCCTGTGCGCCTGATCCCACCTTTGGAGATTCCAGGGGTCAGTATTTTATGCCCTGTCTACAGATTTGAATTTTTGTAGATTTATCACTGTTCCTTATATTCACCTTCTTTCAAAGGGGATAAAAAGATTTATTTAAAAACTATGCAGAAAATGTAGATTTTATTTTTTTTTATTCAAGAACAGCAGTATAACAAACTGTATACTAAATGCCGATTTTTTTTTATCAAATAAATATTCAAACAAATTTATGCATAAAGTATTCAATTTCTTCACCCTGTGGCTAGAATAAAAGCACAAAAGATTCCTTTCTTTAACTTTATCCTTTGTAGGAAAGATTATACTTAAACGTAATTACTTCTTATTTTGATTATACAGGTGATCTTCAGCTTGACAGCTCCATGTCGTTCAAACTTAATTATGGTTCAGTAAGTGGTCCTGGTGAGAAGGTTATTGTGAAAGTACCAGTGCTCGCAAACCCACTAGTCTCCCAAGCAGGGATAGCTTGGTCCGGACCTTATTCTTCGTCAATTAAGACTAATGTTTCAAATAGAGAAAATGTTCCGTACAAATACTGGATCAACAGCTCCTTTCCTGTTGCTGACCGCATATCCTTCGGAAACTACTCACTGATGCACAATGAAAAAACAGTTCTCATTATTGTAATTAACGTTGAAGGTAATATTGATAGCTTTATTTTCGTCACAGAGGCATATTTGGTCTTTTAAATGGATGTGATGTTTTTATTAATCTGCATTTTATTGTATCTTATTTTTCGTAAGACTAAAGGCCAAAGTCTGCTATGTATTTATTTGTTTTTGAATATCTGACAACTATCTAGAACTTATTCAATGGAGTACTAGAATAGTAATTTTCAAGATTGTATTCTTTTCTACGTATCGATAAAATATATTTATTAGAATTAGGATTTTACTCGATCATTGCAAGTGCTGTCATGTTTTTCTTCGCTATAATTTTGAAGATACACCTCAGCCACCGTTGAACTTTACATGGAATTCTTATGATGGTGGATATATCAATCTTACCTGGATATCGAATTTTAAAGGAGGAATAGAACAGTTCTTTATATTATCACACAAACAAGGATCAAAATGGACGAAAATTACAAATCTTACAGATCCTGGTGAGAGTAACATGGGATATTATGACCTAGGATCATTGACCCCAGGACAAGAATACTGGTACCAGCTGGAGAGTTGTAATAGAATCAACTGTTCTTCAAGCCCCAGTATATTAAAGGCCAAAATACGAGGTAATAACCTCCCTAAAATTTGAGCAAACCTGTCATAGTTGTAATAAGCATTATAGATATGGGTTTTTTAAACTATAAACGAATACTTTATTTAAAAAAAATTATTGTATTTATTTATACAAGCCCTTTCATTCTAAATGATAATTTAAAACCAATTTGAGATGCTTTGTGAAAAGCACAAGCGAAAGCTGTATAAGCGGGAAATACCTGTCTGTCTTTCCGACTGTTTGCTTGTACTCCTGTCTGTCATTATTTAAACCTTAAATTGTCGACGGATTTTCCGTTATTTCCCGATCATGACAAGGAACACACCATAGGAGTGACCGGTCGGCAGGAGATGCTTACTCCTCTAGTGCATTTGATCCCACCTCTGATGTTTTAGAGTCCATGTTTGCTCTGCTCCTCATTTGTATTGCTTGAAAGGACTTTTGAGCTTGAATACTGTTCGTTATCTCCATATATTTCATGTTAAAATTTTACAGGATCATTGTCTTTCCTTCAGTTAAATGAAAGGTGGCTGAAAGATTGCTGAAAGCAGAGCTCTACCATTCAGTCATCTTTCAGAAATCTTTTAGTTACCTTTCCGTTGACTGAAAGGTGCAGTTTCTTCCTGTATTTCAGTGCAATGACAAAAAATATACATATAATCCCTGTCATTGCTATTGGAGGATCATGGATTGACAGAGGATTGTGTACTGTTTTACGTCATATTCAAAATTTCTTCACTTTATAGAGAGGTCACCATATGCCGGTGAAATGCAGGCTTCATATGCGGCTTCAAATTTAGACCTATACTCGGCACTTCGGACCATTGAACACTGATGGTTCTTTGTCGTCAAAGCCTATTATGGCACGGGACCTTAGTGTTCAAGTTCTAGTCCAAAAGAACCGTGACTTTCACTTCTAATGAGGCTAACTCCTCCATGGCACCTGATCCCACCTCTGATGCTTGGCGAAGGAACAGTCACTACCTATATATGTTGAAGTCTAAGGTCTTGATGCAGCGCGGCGAAGGATCATCGAACCATGACCTCCCGGTTGCAAAGCGAACGCCGTTTCACTAGACTACCGTGACCGATTGGAGTATCTTGGAAAGAAAACGATTACGTATCACTTCGAGCTATATTTTGACCTACTCAGGGTCATTTTGGTAGGTTTCATCTCAATTTCAGCAAAAGTTTAAAATATTTGATTGGTCCATATCTTTGTGCATTGAAAACTTTGGAAGTTCTAACGTCACAGAAATATGTCTTATGATCGGAGGGTATGGCATGATCTTGATCCAAGGTCATTTGTTAAAGTGGAAGGTCACTGACAAATATGCTAATTCCTGTTATGGTCATATCCTGTAAGGGCGAAATATTGGAAGCTTGTATAAACAAAAATATATTCCAACACAAGAAAACTGTTTGACCTTTAACGAAGGTTGTAAGCTGGGTAAGTTCGGTGTTATCTGCACGGTATTTCATTCTTACAAATAAAGTTTGGAATCCAATATTTTACACAAAGATTTTTCATGATTTAAGAGTGTTTAAAGATCTTGACCAAAGATCGTTTTGGCAAGCTCAAGGTCACTGACAGAAAATGTTAATACCTTTGAAAAACTTTTTAAAGTGGAGAAACATTGGATTGTAGAAACAAAGAATCTCAAAGTTGACAAAGACGTCATTGGCCCGAATATGTGTCAGTGGGGATGTTGTTGTGAGATCACTCTTAGAACGTCTAGTTTAAAAAAAGATTTTATTCCCAATGATAAATTTACACACTGAATTGTCGACAGATTTTTCTGTTATCTGCCGATCATAAAAAGGAGCACACGACGGTTGTGACGGGTCGGCAGGGGAAGCTCACTCCTTCATGGCACCTGATCTCACCTCTGATGCTTTTGGTGGTCCGTGTTTGCTCTGCTCCCGATCTGTATTGTATTTAATGGACTTTAAGCTTAAATACTGTTCGTTATCTCCATATTTCATGAAAATGTATGATTTGTATATATTTTTGTAGCAATTAGAAATTTGATTTCTATCATCTCCTCTGATGTGTTTAAATTAATAAATTGAATAGTCTTTTTTTTCTTTTTCTTGATCCTGAAGGTTTAAATTTATTTTCAGCCTTGCCAACATCATTCTCTTCGTCCAATGATACATCAGTGTCCCTTGTGATTGGATCTTCTGTGGCTGTTTGTATTGTGATTCTGGCTGTAGTGATTACGGTTTATTTCCTAAAGAAAAAGTCAGTCCAACAGAATGGAAAAAGCGGAGAAAGGAAAAATGGATGTAAGCATGCTGGTATAAAGTAAATATGACATAACAAAGGTGTGATATTAATAAATTATTGGGCTCATCGGTAATTAACATCAAAAAACGTAGACACGATTAATAACGAGAATTTAGTTATAGGGTTCTTGTCATCTAAAATTTGTTTTAACATCTCATTCCTTTTAAATTCATGCATACCTAGACCACCATTTCCGCAAAGCCATGCATTCAAATCAAATCAGGGATGGGGTAATTGATAAAAGTAATTGTAATTGAGTGAAATTAATCATTTTTTTCAAAGTAATTTGTAATTGACCATTTTTTCAATTACTTGTAATTGAATATAATTAATTACACTGAAAAAATACCCTGTTATTTCAATTACTTTTCAATTACATTTCAGTTTCTTTAATTTAAATAGTACATATTATGTGTATTTAATTGGAATATATTTCCAACGCAGTCACATTTTACAGTTATTTTAACTTATTCAAAGAAGACCTTCCGTTTTTCAAAATCTTTAACTCTTTTTTATCTCAATAAATGAGTTTGAAATATTGGCTGGTTTATAAAAATATTACTTTGTTTAATAATTATAACACATAAAGAATTAATACTAGTTAAATGTTTATCAAAAAAAAAATTTCTACCTCTAATTGGTATAGGAATGTTAGTAAGAGTAACATTTAAATTTTTTGCTGCTTGATTATCAAAAAAGAATAGAAAATAATTCAATGTCTCATTAAGACCTGCCTGGTTGCCCTTCAACTCCCAGCTGTAAATTGCTATGAAAACAACCCTTCAAAATTTTATACCATGCTTTGTTTAAATTCAAAGTTATGACCATTAGAGGTGATTTACTAAATACTATTAAGAATGTTCTACTATTTATATACATGTACTTCAGAAAAGAAATATATTTTGAATCACTATTTAAACATTTAAACAGATCTTTATAAATGTATTCATTTGGTTTCTGAAAGAGTTAAAACAAATATTATTTGTCAACATCTGCAATTTTAGGTGTTTAGCTAGCCTACCTTTAGCTGAAATAATTTGAGAGTATTTTATGGTTGATTCATAAACTCTTGGAAACTTGCTTTTAATCAAATTTCATAAAGGCAGTCAATTAATTGATAAATGTACATGTAAGACTAGGTCTTATGTTGATGAAACACACAAACATGACAGACACCTGACATTGTTTATTTTAAATATTCCCCTACTTTAAATGTACATGCATTTGTTCTTCAAGATTTTTGAAAAGGAAACAAAAAGTAATTGAAATGTATCTAATTACATTCTTCAAAGTAATTGAGAGCAATTAATTACATTTGTAAATATCAATGTAATTGTAATTGCAAGTAATTAACAAATTTTGCAATGTATTTGAAAGTATTTAATTAAATTTCAAAGTAATTGGCCCCAACCCTGATTCAAATATTATTTGGTAATTGTTGCTGATTAATAAAGCAATCTGTGATTAGTGCCCTGTGGATTTCCATAAGTCAATAAAAAAATCTTTAGGACAGCGGCATGTTATACTGTAAACCAACTTTTATTCGCGAGTTTCGCGACCTTTTTTTCATTCGCGAATATTTTTCGTCGCGAGCCAATTATTCACCTAATTGCCTGACGCGACGAGAGTCAGACAGTAGAAGGATCAATTTTTCCATTGTACGAAACGAAGCGATCATAGTAAGTGAACTAGATTTTGTGCAAGCTGATTTATATCGTAATTTGTTACCTCCATTTTAACAAATACGGTTTGCAGAAGAGAGAATCATATAATGATGTGTTTACTTCCTTCAGTCCATTTGTCTTCTACGAAAGGGGTGACACAATCATTTCGCGCCAAATGTCACACGTAAATTATCGTCGCACCTTTTGCTTGGATTGTTCTATTGAATGGTTGTGATCACTTCTATGGAAAGAAATAACGTTTGTTCTTTAACCTGATTCTCAAGCTTCAGAATTTTTATTAACTGCGAATTTTATCACATTTTTTTTGCATTACATATTATATACGGACAGAAGACACTTAAGCAATTGATTTGCTAATTATTCTTACTACATTGTATTTTGTATCCCGTAAGTTGACTAGTCCAATCATAAACAAACTCTCTCCACCTGGCAAATGGACATCCCTTCTTGATTCAGTCTGTTTCCCTCTTTTCTTTCAATGTAACAAAATAATGTACTTTACAAGGTTAGCTTTTTATAAAACTTAGAAAGTCAGCCATTGGCATATCATTCCATGCTTTGTGAAGAACATGGGTTTCTTTGTAATATAGCGACAAGAGTATAGGCCAGTACCCTTAGAGGATTGAGCTTTACTCCCGTAAGATTCTAAGTAAAGAATCGGCAAATGACGTAGACATCACCGTCATCTCTACTGGTTTTCATTTTATTAAAAACACGTTATTAATATAGAAGAAAGGAGAAAGGTCCTGAAATCGATTGAAAAGTAAAATTGTAAACGATTTTAAAAAATGTACACAAAGATGTATTTCAAACTCATTCACAATAAATATTTTAAGACCATCATTGCAAGTGAGTTTTGTCCAGGGGGATTATCAGTATATTGTTTTCCTCTAGCTATAAAGTGACCCGGCCATTTACTTTGCGTCCTAGAGCAGAATTGAAGCATTTTTGTCTCAAACACTTCAAGACAACTTTCCTTGTTAAAACTGTTCACAATTTACTCGTCGAGAATGAGGCCGTCTCATCAATCTATCACTGACCAGAGAGTGTGCAAGAAGAATCGCGTTATGCTTAAAGAGTGATATTAATTTCTTTAGAACGACTCGTTTAGCTATTTTTCCCCCAGAATTCCAGTCTACCCATTTTCATTGCATTTTCATCTCAACGTAACTAGTCAGCCCGCGGGCTAACTAATAAATGACTAACAGACAGTGGCATGTCTTAGATATTCGTTAATCTTTAATATTTGGTTATGACATGTCCTTTAATCTAGCTATAAAATTTGGTTATGACATTTGAGAAAGTCAGTTGTACATCTTGTGTAATCAAGTAGCGTAACTATGTCGCTCCTTAATGACAGAAACATTTAGCACTTCCCTTGCTTATACGTTCCATAGATATTTATTTTTTGAGTCAGGCAAGCTTTTTGAAAGTATCGCGAATATTGTTGGTTCACAGTAGGGTGTGTATGAGAATTTGATATATAGCATTATGAACAACGAATGTCATGAGGACATGATTACAACAACTGTAATTTTATACAGTTCATTAGTCAGTTCACTTTTCACATAATTTAATTCTTCAAGCTCCAGAACCAGACAACACTCAGCCGGATGTTTTATACGCTGCAGTTGACAAGAGTCTCCAGATGAAGAATAAACAACAGACTGAAGTTATGAAGAGTGACGTCAAGGATAAAAATGGTTCTCTCTCTCTCTCTCTCTCCAAAATTGCAATCATCATATTTCATTTCGGTTTCCATAATTTTTATAAAATTTTGCACTGAAGAGAAGAAATTGCAAGGAAAGAAAGAAGAAGCAGAAGCATCTATCATGAACAGCGATTCGCGTACAGTGGTATGATATTTAGCTTGTCCGTAGTATGATGTTTATATCTAGTCAGTGGTAAATGTATGATTATTTTATCAAGTCAGTGTTATGATGTTTATAGCTTGTCAGTGATATGATTATTAGATTATTATACCTAGTCCGTTGTATGATTATTACATCTGTTATGATGCTAAAAACAATCCATCAAGCATTTATCCAATATGACGTGATCGGGAAATGGCGGTTTGTAGATTTTTTTCGGGAATGGAATTCATATAGTGGAAATATAATTTCAAAAAAAACTATCAATCAAGCAAAACTAAAAGTGTGTTTACTGTTACATATAGATATTTCAAATGATAACAATATTTTCGATTTTTTAGTAGGACAAATAAATTTAAAAATCCTACTTTGTGATAAGCGTCATAAAAGAAGAGGGATTTCACGCCTATTCTATATATATGCTCATGAACATGTGAATTTATGAAAACGAAAAATTTAGCGACATAGGGGAGAGAATCATCGAGTCAAATAGACCCCCTTCTTATCCGGATCTATTTTTACCATAATTAAAAAATGTCTAATATGTTTATAGAACAAGATCACTGTTGCTATTTTGTGCTATAAATATATATACTATAAAATATTTATGATCTAGTGAGTCCATAGTAAGCCATAATATCAAAAACGTATAGAGTGTGCGTTCTAAAAATAAATAATTTTTAGAATCAAATTCTCCTTCGTCGGAGATAAAATTTAGTATGTATAGTGACGATAACCAAATCTACTGTCTCTACAAAACATATGTTTCGTATTTTTTTTCTTTTCTTAGAATTTTTTTTGAATTTTTTGACAAAAATATTTTTGGAATATTTTTTACTGATTCGCAGAATCAGGATGGTTTAGTATATATCGAGGTGGAATTTACAAACAAGAACTTCGACTCAGACATAAAGGGGAGACCAGTCATACACGGAGAAGAAAAGAGAACAGAGTACGTGTTCGTGGATTTCTCCAAAAAAGCGCCACCTATACAGAAAACGCAGGATGACGCCAAGTAAACACCTGATCAGTCTTTGGATTGGTCCTCTAGTGAACTCCAATGAGAAGATTGTCGATTAGTTTGTTTAGAAAAGAACTTCTGTTATTGATCAAGAAAAGTTAACCACTTCACCTTTTTTTCTAAGAAGTACTATTTGAATGAACCTTATTGTACAGTCATAGGTTTTTTTTGTTTATATATATATATATATATATATATATATATATATATATATATATATATATATATATATATATATATATATATATATTACTGTCTATAGAATCAAGTTGCTCCAGTTTTAGGGTACTTTGTATTGAAAAACGAAAGCTAAATAAATCTTGAAAATTTATATTGCAATATACGTCTTAAATCCTGTAAGGAAGAAATTATATGTCAATGAAATATTTAGACAGCAAATAGTAATCAAGCTCAGAAGTCCATTAAAACATTACAAATACGCATCCTAGTTTGCTGTTTATGCTAAAATTTGACACCTGTTAAAACGTACGAATTTTGTTTTAAAGCGATAAAAGACAAGTCGTACAGGTAACTGGCATCAAATACCAGTCAGAAATGATATAGTAGTACCATTCCTAAACTGCGAAATGCACCAATGAGTGGATTCGTGCAATCGGTGTGTTAATTCCGGGGAAGTTTTTATCATTGTCGAACATACATACGTGACGTAAACTAGGATTCATTGATTTACCATTGCAACTCTATGCAGCAAGCAATCAAATGATCTGCGCATATAAATTATATAGGACGATACCTCGACGAGTTTGCCGACGATGCACACGTATAGCTATAACAGTATAAATTTTCGTATTTTGATAAACAGGTTTGCCAAAATATAACTACTATCTACACACACTAGAAGATAGGTAGTTTTATATATGCATCGCAAATTTTCCATACTCCATTTTTAAAAAAGAAGACGTATTTCATGTAAAAATGTTAAAAAATAAACGTATCATACATGGACCATATGATTATTGCCCATATGTCTATTTATCGTGAAAAGTAGCATATAAACTGGGAAATATGGAAGAATAATAAGGCAGATGACCTGAAAAGTTTGCAGTGTCATCTTGTAGTTTTTTTCAAGTTTACATTATATGGGAGTTTGGAAATATGAAAAGTTCGCTTAGACAAGCTGATGTAAATGCAAGGTTCAGACACCACATATTCGATATTTTCCTGAAAATCTGTGTTGTAAAATTTTGAGCTGAAATAAATATATAGTTTCAAAGTTAGATGATAATTAAAGTAATTTTTACACACACACACAATCTGCCTCTACCACGTTTTCTTTACCATTATTTCGATGTATGACTTATTAATACTGTAGAATAAAGTTGGTTGTCTTTAAGGGAATCAAAATGTTACAACCTTTATAAACAAACTTACGATTTGCCGCTGTCATGTCTAAATATGCATTATTTGTTCTCCATTTGGTTCCTATAATTACAAATAAAAGTAATCAGTCCTGGCATTCAATTTTATACATTGCCGCTTTATCTGAAAGTTATCAAACTAAGACATGATATTGTAACAATCCAGTGATTTGACAGATTGTTTTGTACAGAGTTATTGAACCTGATTATTGTTGACGTTTGTAGGAAAGTTGAGATGAACTAGTATATATGGATATTTACTTGACATTGCAGGAATATGTATAATTTATGCTTCTCGTGTAATTGATAGGTGATTATTGACAAGTTTAAGTGATTTGTATGTGTTGATACAGTTTGTGCACATGTTTTGAGTTACGTAAAAATCAGCTGCTCATAGCTGTAGTAGAGTTGTGGAATTTTTTGCTTACTTATTATGTCAGGGACTTTTAACTGGTCTTCTTTAGCTGATAAACCGTAGCTTTATAGATGAAATCATGCTTTCTTATAGTTTAACGTGTTTTTAGTTGATTTTCGGTGGTAATTGTCTCGTTGTAAAACTAGCAGGAATTGTTTACAAATTTTGTCGTCGTAATTGCGGGAGTTCGAGCCCGATCGCAAATGTTACGATAGTTTGATGATTTTTAGAGTTAATCGTGTTATTTGTTGTATTAAATGGATTACTTTGATTCAGAATAGTTGTCTTGTATGTAGTTATTCGATTTTTCTATAAACTTCGCCGCTTACAGGAGATGTCGCGGTAGATTCTCCATTATTTTCCGACGTTTTCAACATTTTCCAACTTTTACGTCATGTTTTTGTATGAAAAAGAGAGATTCAAGGAATTTTTCCTCTTCTGCTAGGATCTTTTGTTAAGAGAAGCTGCGTTTTTAGGGGTAAGGATTTAGAACTTAGCATTAGTAGGGCGTTTTGAATTTAGACCTAAGAATGACTTTTTAATTATATTTTAAGAAGAGTCAGGGATATTTCGAGCACATTTTAGGAACTTTCGGAATATTTGTGGAATTTTATAGGAAGTTTTGGTCAATTTTAGTGACTTTTCACGGAGGAATTGGACTTTGGAATTTGCTCTTTGTTGAATTTTTAGCAAACAGGTGTAAACTTTGAGAATTTATTGCAATCATTTGAGTTGTTTTCCTAGGATTTAGGTAATTTATACATTCAGCTGAGGAAGCTAGTTTATTTCTAAATTTCTGCTGTTGTTTAATTACAGATTTAAGACTTAGAAATTTACTGGAATTTTACTAGTGTTGGAAATTGATTAGAAAATTAAGTTCATGGGATTAAGTTTAGTTTTTGGTTTTTACTTTCATCCAGGAGGTCTGGAAGAAAGTTTGAGAGTTAGCAATTTAAACTTTGGAGTTTTACTTTTCCAACATAAGCATTGGGGAGAAGTTGCAGATGACTAGACTAGAGACAGACTGAGACAGAGTTTAGAATTGTTGTTTGTTTATTTGAGAGTTAACCATTATAATAAATTGTAAAATTGTATTTTGTCTCATTCAAATAAAAAGTTTTCTAAAGCTGAAGGTTTCCAACCAAGTTGGAAATGCATGATTGTAAAGATTAAGAACTGAGTAAAGAGATACTGTGTATTTAGAGAATTTTGGTGACTTCCTAGAATCTAGATTGTAAAAGGATTTAAAGGTAGAGAAGAAAAGCTGAGAGATTTCGTTTATTAATAAATTTAGTGTAACTTAGAGAGCGCGGGTTAATAATAGGAGGTATAAGTTGTAGGCAGTGGTGAGTGATAGAGATGTCTGAGTAACGAAAAGGTTATTGATAAAGGTTTCATTTTTTGAATATATTTAATATTCCCAAAAACCAAAATGAATTTGAATTACCATATCTATATTGGATTCCGAAACTTCAAATTTGTGCAAACAAAGATACATAACGGGTTCCAGTAAATGTTCTACTAAGCCTCTTTCTTCACTCCTTACTAAGATATTAACAGTAGTGAAAGAGAAACTTCAAGAGTTCTGTGCAACAATATATTCGAGAAGTGGTGTAAATCAGCTGTGGGCATTAAAAAATTCCAAGGAACTTTGGGAACATTTGAAATTACAAAATTTTACCAAAATCAACAACATAAAAACTTTTCAACTTAATATACAACTCTTCCCACGATAAATTAAAGTCCAGACTTTCTGACAGCTGCTTTTTCAATAAAAATGGAACTCGTAAATTTACTTATCTTGTTATTGGTCATTTGCAAAATAACTTTGTAAGAAAACAATCTGTTTGTACACACAAGTACTCTGAAGTTGACATTAAAGATGCTTGAGTTTCTGATTGACAATAACTATGTTGTTTTTGGAGACCAGGTCTTCCAACAATCTATAAGAATTTCCATGGGTACCAATTGCGCCCCGTTACTAGCAGACTTTTTTTGTATTCTAATGAAGCAGAATTTGTTCAAATTCTTTTACGTGAAAAGAAGAAAATACTTGCTGTGGCCTTCAACTCGACATTTAGATAAATCGACAACGTATTGTCAATTAACAATGTTTTTTTTTTTCATTCTTATGTCGACATGATATATCCCGGTGATCTTGAGATAAAAGATACCACAGTGTCTAACACATCTGTTTCATATTTATATATTTTATAAGAAAAAGACGTTAATAGTAATCTAACAACCAAGCTTTATGATAAACGTGATGACTTTAACTTTTCAATCGTCTACTTGCCTTACTTATGCAGCAATATACCTTCATCACCTGCATACGGGGTTTATATCTCTCAGTTGATTCGATACACCAGAGCATGCTTTACGTATGAACAATTTCTAAAACGAGGTAAGTTATTGACAAACAAGTTGATGAAACAGGAATATCAGCAGTCTTGTTTAAAGTCATCATTTCGTAAATTTTATGGTCGATACAATGACCTTGTCAGCAAATACAATCTATCGTTAAGTCAAATGCTGACTGACTTTTTTCATACTAATTGTAAGGCCATTCTTTACACACTGAATTGTCGACGGATTTTTCCGTTATTTCCCGATCATGACAAGGAGCGCACGGTGGGTGTGACCGGTCGGCAGGAGATGCTCACTCCTCCATTACACATTATCTCACCTCTGATTTCTTAGAGGTCAATGTTTGCTTTGCTCCTGTTTTGTAATATTTAATGGACTTTTGAGCTCGAATACTGTTCCTTATCTCCACATATTTCGTGGTATAAATAACGAAGTATGTCATAGGGGTTAAAAAGCTAACACATAACGTCAATGTTAATCAAACATTCGCCGAGTGAAAATGAAACGCAACGAAAATTCATTTAAACAAATATATGAAATGAGAGTTTAAAAGCATATCCCATGAATATCATGTGTGATTCATAAGGAATGTAAGTTTAAGAATCAGGTACACTGATTTGTTTTCATTATTTTTTTTCATAATAAAGACGGGCAGTGTTTTAAAACACCGATCAGACTTTCCTCCGTCGTGCTTTACGACAAAATGCAAAAGTTCATCACTACGGCCCATACATGTTATTCGTAAACATAAAAACGTCACTCCAAATTGAAAGCTTGCATTCTATGGTACTTTGAAAGAGCTGCTAGAATCGAGGTTAACATGAAAAGATGAAAATT